TGCCGCGGCACCGCCGGCCCGAGCTGGGCTGAAGAAGCCGACGGGAAGGGCGGTAGCCGCTCAGGCGAGGGCGTCTCTCTCCTACTTTGTGAGGATTAGTTGAACGTCTAGCAGCAGGTTCGCCAAAAAAAACGCACGAACGAAAGCTGTTCGCGATCAGCAAGTGCTAGCGCTTCACAGGAGTTTCTCTTTATGAAGAAACAAGGAAAAGCCGCACAGACCAGTGAGTTTAGCACTGAACTGGACTCAGATGGATTTTTGGGTTTTTTTTCTGTTGCAGGCGATAACTTAAAAGTTTACTAAAGTCACAGTAAACTAAATTTAATGAAAAATTCTAGAGAATTTATGGGCTGTAACTTGTATTTTCCTCTAGCAACTTGTGAGGAAAATGCCATCGTGAGAGTTATAGTGACACCCAATGGTAAAGTTCTTGCTTGAAGACCGTTTAGTCCTGTGTGGCTAGTGAGTTATACTGGAACATAAAGCTTCTTTTTTGGACTGATGTATGTGTGCCCTGAAATATAATTTTCCAGGGTTAGGCTTCTTTCAAATGACTGCAGTGGGACACAAACTTAGCCTGTAGTAGTTCAAAACTCATCACCTTGCCAGCACTGATGATTCTTAATTTATGTTGATCAGTGTTATGGCTGAGTCAACCAAACTTTCCACTGCACACTGTTTGTGTGAATAAAAGAATCCCAATACATTGAAACACTAATAGTGATATTAATCCTGTGAAAACTTAACTGTATATGTAGGATAACTTAGTTGTTAGAAACTTTTAGTCAGAATAGGTCTTAATATTTGAGACCTAATAAAGGTTAACTAAATAGTTATGGGATGAAGGCTTTTTTTAAAGTAGATTTAATTATACTTAACAAGCAATTACAGAATGAATTAGGATATTTTTGTAATGAATGTAGGCCCCGCTCCTGGCTTGCTTATTCTTCCTGTGGTTTGCACTAGAACAAAGCTTATGCCAAATCTTTCTAAAAGCAAAAATCCTAATTGCTTTTAAAACGTTTCAACTCTACAACAGCACGGCAGGTTGTCATGATACAGTAAAAATCACGATTGTCTTATATCCAGTATTGATGCACGAACTCAGCTTTGTTTTTAATTTTGGTCAGGCTTCATGCGTGCAGTACCGTTTGGTCATTCGAGATGTGAACACCCTCCAG